CCTGTTTGAAGAGTCAGATGCCTGTGAGTTTTTCTCAGGCAACCACAAGAGGCTGCTAAAGAAGGGCTTTTTCCTGCTCTTAAGACCGTGAGCCCCGTCCTGGATACAGACAGGCACAGTGTACAGAAGGACTGCTTTTCTAAAAGTAAGACTCAAATCAGGCTTTTTTTCACTTCCAAACTCAGACCCTACTGGAGGAGGTGCTGCTGCATCCCTGCAAAACCTCAGCTGCAGTGGAGCTGAACTGATAGGAGGTGCTTAAGAGGTGGCATGATACTGTGATCTTGGCTTCTTATGCATCTCTTATGGGCCTTCTCCAGTCTGTTGACACCACAGCTGCTTTGCCTTGAGGACCAGGGATACAATGTACCTGTTCAATAACTAGGATCCAGCACTTCTACAGTTGTTCTGTTGATATTGAGCCACTCTAAATGGTGCTTTGTTTTGCTTTCCTATGTCTGGGTGAGTTATCACGGGCAAGACACTTTACCTTTGTGTTCTGTCCTGACTAATCTTTGTGAAAAGAGAACACTAATGTGGACTTCCTTATGCAAAATGCTCTATTGACAAGAAAAGCTGGACAATTGATCTGCATGTTTTTTGTGACTTGTCTTTGTTAGCCTGTTAAATGCAAATTGTGCCAGCCCTGCGGTCAGTCCAGCACAGAGGGTAAGGAGTGGGAGCCTGTACCATTCACCTGGCTGAGTTAGTGATGGTTGTGCTTTTCATTGCTTCCGTACCAGTTAATTTGCGAGAGGGAAGTGGTCTCTTGGCCATTGTTTAATAATGTTTGCAGGGGAGTTGCCTTCTCAAAAGCCAAGAAGCAGCAACGCCTGTATGTACAGCCAGTTCCCATGATTGATGGATTGTAACTGGAGGAGAAAGAGGCAAGAAAAGGACTGGTAAGGAACATAGAGCTGTCCTGCTTCCCCACGTCAGTAGGGTCAAGTGATGCTTTGTGCAGTAGGCTGTTGGTAGCAGGTTCACCTGAATCCTTCTGGGGATATTTTCATTGAAGAGAGACCTGGACAGTGTTCCTGCACTAGTATGTGAGACAGTTGAGTGGACACTGGAACTTCTTGGCAGAGAGAATGTGATGGAGCCCTAACGAGTACTCCACAAAGTGTGTGCTGGAAGACAGGAAAGTAAGCTTTAGAGGTCTGTTATGGTGATGGGGAGGAGACGACCTTTCCACCTCTGTTTCTGGGCTGCATGAGGAAACGGTTGCACTTGTCTTATTGTACAAGTGTTCTGGGCCTCAGCTAAGTTGGGATAAGGTTAATGTGAGAATGGCAATAGGTACTTTGAGCTTGAGGAGATACTACTGCAGACTAATGCTAAAAACATTAAATAAATTCTAATCAAACAGCACATCCTGATAGTGCGTGGGGAGAGAGAGGATGTCCTTACCTTCTGACTGGTGACAGAGAAGAAACCCTAAAAAGAGTGTGGGGTTATTAGCCAGGAGGTCGAAGCCCGAGAAGCAATGCTGACCAGATTTCCCTTCGTGTGGGCCTCAGGAGGCCATAGCTTCATATAAGCCACAAGATGATGTAAGCTTTTTCAAAACTGTTGGGTTTTTTTTGGATGGTTTGGCCAGACAGTGGGGCTGGTGACAGCAAGCTACCTTTATGAATTTGGGTACAAATAAGCATCCATATTCTGGCCTGAGTAAGGCCTAACTCTGAAGCACTGACCGTTGTAGCCCTGAGAGAGGGCCACGTGGTGCCAACTGTGGTTTAGCCGTCAGCACGGCTACCACAAACAGTGTCAAGTAACTGGGAAAGGTTAATCATGGTGAGCTGTCAAGATGCAGGGTGTTTTGCTGTGCTGCCTGCTGACAGTTTTACTTTATTCGGCGTGGTATCACCTGAGTGCATAGTTAGCAGCTCTGTTTAGCTAGAGTTAAAAGACTGCATTACAGCCGAGCTTGAAAGGTTTAGGAACTGCTCACGAGAGTGGCCCTGCAAGCCTGTGCATGATATGTCCACGCATCATTTATGTTACTGACATGTCTAGAAGGCCTGGGCATAGTCTGGGATGGAGAAGTGCTGGGTGCTTTCTCCTCAGCAAGAATGGGATCCTACACAGAACAATAATTTGTATTTATATTCTGTTTTGCAACCTCCTGGCTGCCTGTTGTTGTTTGACTTTCAGTGATCCCGCTACTTTATTGCCTATCTAATCTCTCTCCAGTGACATGGGGAAAGTTGTGTTCCCATTTTACAGGTGTCAGTTGATCTATCCAGTGTAAATAAAAAGAATTGTCAGAGCTGAGATTGAAACCCAGTAGTTACTTCTGCGTCGCTGCTTCTCACCTTCTACCATTTACAAACTCAAGCAGAAAGTCAAATGAATTTCTTCCTTTCACTTCTCAGAGGAACGAGAACAAAGTACATTAACTGAATTGGCACATGATAGGATTGCACTTTGTTTTCTGTTGCCACGTCACTTTTCTGCTTGGAATTTAGCCTGCCCTGGTATTCCTTCTGCTCCCTTTTTGCCTATGTATATCCCGACATCAGCTTGTTCAGAGAGAGCAACTAGTGCTTTGCAAATAGGTTTTTAAAATTAATTTCTGCAGCTGATTTAAACCAGCCTGGACTGAAGACTTAAGTATGTTGTTTAATTTAGATCCCCTTCTTTTTACTGAAACTCTCCTGCAATAGGGGTATATGAAAAAGAGAGCTATATATGAAAGAAAATCTGGGTTGAGACAGCTGGGATTGTTTAGGGTTTTTTTCGTTAATTCTGAAATACCCTAATTCATTCCTGTGCAACTGTATTCACTAGCTCAGGAAATAAAAAGTAACTTCTCTCTGTTGAGAGCAATTTGTTCATGTGGTACCTTTGTAAGGGGGATATTTTGTTACTGGTGTGATTATTTCCATGTTGACTTTATCTGGCTGTTCTAACCACTGTGTGAAATTTCTTCTAGAGCCTAGAAAATGAAGCTAAAGGAAATTGAGCGAACAGCTGTCCAGGCATGGAGTCCAGCAAACAACCACCCCATTTACCTAGCAACAGGTAAATTTGTTCACAATTTGTGAAAATTAAAGTATGAGTCACAGAGAGGTTTTATGTAGAGTTGTATTGTTGTATCGGATTTAACTTTCAACAGTTCCCACCTTAATAATCTCTAGAAAACTTACAAGCAGTATACTGAAATCATTGCAGCCTTATTTTTTTTTTTAAAGAGGATTATTTGTCTGCCCAGCTTTGACACCTTAAATGCCAGTGATTTTTTTCAAAGGGTAAATACATGGCTTTTTTGTTCTAACTTCTAATTAAGTCTGTATGAACTCCAATGCCTGCTTGCTATAAAAATTAAAATAAAATAAGATTACTTACTTGGTATGTCTGTGGAAAAAAGAAGTTCATTCTAATCATGTTCATTTAAGGTCACTTTAACTTTGTTGATCTTCAGGCATTATCATGTGGTTTGACAATCAAATAATACAAATCTCTTCTCCCTAAAGTTGCGTGTTTTGGTTCTCATTCAATTTCCAATATTTCTGCAAAACCTTAAATTTACATTTTGTTGGTATTATTCATTATTCACTATTGTTATAATAATTTTATTTCCTGGACCACAAAGTCAGCCTGTTCACTGAGTTGGAAGTGGGTGAGTTTAGTGTCTGTGAAGAACCAACAGCTTGGGTTGTTTGCCCAATATGAGAACTAGTCAGCTCTGTCTCCTGCCTGGGTTATGCAGTGCTGCCATATTGTGTTCCTTTTTTTTTTTTGTTTTCAGGGATGACTGTCAAAGAAAGTGACAAAAGTTCAGCTGTTGCCTTAGAAGCAACATTACCATTTTTGGGGCAGATAGTCAATTTTGTGTTTCTCTAATAAGGACAGATTTTTGGTTGGACCAGAGGTCTTGGCTTCAGTCTGCTTTTGATCAGAAACTGCATAGTTTCATAATTTTTACTGCTTTTTAATAGTCTCTTGGGCACTTTCCATGCCATAGGCAGTTACAAAGCACCTCTGTGGTAACTGGGTGACTATTTGCCTGGCAGTGTCCCATTAGGCAATGTTAAATCTATTTTTAGCTTTTATTTTCTAAGCTAGGGGGAAGGAAGGATGCCACCACTGTGTGACTGCTAGCTGTCTGTGGGTTGTTGGGGAGTGTTTAGTTGGCTAAGGTTGAAGAGCTTTTGCTGTAGACCAGGTTTAGACGGTTTGATCAAGACATATGGTCATTGTTGAGGAGCAGTATACAGAAGTATTTGGGATCATACTTGTAGCAGGGCTTCATGAGGTGACTGCATTTGTAATTTAGATAAGGGCTTAGTATCACAAGCTGTGGCTACTTGAAAGAGAGTATATGAATTATATTTATCCCAGGATAGAAACGTATTTGTGCAACAGTGACCCTGGTGCCCAGAATTTCTTGAAGAAGTTCTAATTTCTTTCAAAGTCTTTGTCATAATTGTTGGTTACTATTTCTGAGGTATTCAAACATGTCATCTCCGTGAACAAGCACAACCAAGGTTGCTTTGACTATGAAGAATAGGTTTCCAGTGCCTTGCTCTTTTTGTATCTTGTGCTCTTGAAAAAAGTGCCCACTTGTTTTGCCCTTGTACTTCTGCTAGGAACATCTGCCCAACAACTGGATGCATCCTTCAGTACAAATGCCACCTTGGAAATATTTGAGGTTGACTTCAGGGATCCCTCCCTGGACATGAAGCAGAAAGGAACGCTTTCTGCCTCAAACAGGTACTAGAGATTCATGGTGATGTATCAATCAATGGAACTAAAAAGGGCTTTTTTGGTACAAGAAAGGAGAGGAGGAGATAATATATTTGGGATATAAAATGATCTTTTGGATCAGTTGACCTCTGTCTTCAAAATTGAATGTTTTTGTTGACACAAATCATGTTGGGTGTAAAAGTACAGCAGTTGGACCATTGCAGAAGTCTGAAAGAACTTACGTGGTAGTCAGTCAGGAGAGTGCTGACAAATTGCTGATGAGAGCTGATGCTCTCTCTGTGAGAGAGCATCACAAATGTGCTGGAGCTAATGATTTGCAATAAAGAGACTAGAGGCAGAGTGAAACTTGTCTTCTAGCTTTTTAAGACAAGGTGATTTCTTTGGCTCATCAGTGCGGGTGACATTTGCCCCCAGTGTAAAACATAGCCTTGATTTGTAACCAGCAGCTTTTACAGTGGGTAAACATATTTTTCAGATAATAGCTCTGGAAAAGAAGGCATATAGTCCTGTAATCTAATTTTCTCTTTAGTTTAGGTTAGAGGAGTTCATCCACCAAATCCCGTATGAGGTCCTGAACATTTTAAGGGGGTGGGGGAAAGGAAAAAAGAGACAGACTAGCTCTTCCTTTGTAAGTTCTGTGTAAAAGTCTTTGGAGGGAAACTAATTTATTTCTTCCTTGGTAAAAGCCACAGTCATCTTCAAAGGGAAATGGTTATTTAAGGTGCAGGCTGATGGTTATGTTTGATAGGTCAGAAAATGGATGTGGTTTTTGGTAATACAGAGGATGTCTTGACTTCCACCAGATATTGTCGCTTATGCCAGCTTTATTTTCTTCTTTTTTAGGTTTCATAAGCTCATCTGGGGTAACTTTGGAAATGGGTCCCCGGAGTCCTCCGGAGTGATCATTGGTGGAGGGGATAATGGTGTACTGACAATGTACAGTGTGCACCGCATCTTGGCTTCAAAGAGCGAGCCTGTAATTGGGCAGACAGAGAAGCATTCAGGTCCTGTTCGAGCTCTTGACTTCAACCCTTTCCAGGTATGAAACATTAAGATACTTAATAACCAAATGAAAGTTAACCTCCATGTTAAAAAAAGAAAGTTTTTCCTTTCTGTATAGAGATTTATAAACTGAAGGAACAGTTTTTAACCTGAAAGAGGCTTGGTAATTGTGACACAAAACTGGTTTGGAACTCAGATTTGGGTTCTGTTCACAGCTTTGCCACAAATTCCCCTGTGACCTTCATCAAGTCTCTTGCCTCTCTGTCAAAATGCATCTTGCAATAGTGTTACATGTTAGACCATTACACATTTGAAATAAGAACTTTTTTTTTTTTTAATTTGTTCAGTTGGTGTCTAATTCATTGGGGCTCTAATCGCACTTGAAGGGACTGCAACATGAGTGAGTAGGGAACAGAACACAAGTTCTCGTGGTAGCACAAAGGCAAATTGGAAGTAATCTGCAGACCCTTGTGGGAGGCCTGCATCTTCTCAAAGAAGTGTCCTTGGTGCCAGGATGCAGGGCAAAGGCTCAGCTGGCCAGACACAGTGGCTTCCAGGCCTGTGGCAGGGTTTTGTGATGAGTAATATCAGCCACCTGCACATGTAGCTTGCTAGACAAATTTTAAATAGGTCTGTACTATGGCACAGCTGAAGGCATCGAGGCCAGAAATGTGCTTGGTTTATGCCCAAGCCACAACAGTTTATAATCTGGTTAGTATCTTTCCGCTTAACAGTGGCAGCTTTCATCTGACTTCAGAAGTTTTTTGATTTTTTGCTTACATTTATTTTGAAGAAACCCGTCCTCTTTCCCGTTGAACCTCAGCTGAGCTTTTTTTTTTTCTACAGAGTAACCTCTTGGCTTCTGGAGCCAATGATTCTGAAATTTTCATCTGGGACTTGAATAACTTCAGTGTGCCTATGACTCCGGGGGCTAAATCACAGGTAAACAAGTTTTCCTCTGGGCACTGTCCCTGCAGTTTTATATCCCAGTAGGTGAAGCAAAAATATGGGAGTGTTTGGAGTCGTCGTTGTCTAGTCAGTCTGTGAAGGGGGAATGACCTTGACGTCTGTCAGGAGAAAGATGAATCAGAACTTACTGATCAGCTTCCTTCTGGGGAGGTGGACGGTGAGAGGGTTGGGGAGGTAGGCTGGCAAGCTCTGGAAGGATGCACTTTGCATGGATGGGTAAGCTCTTTGTGGATTTGAATCAAGTAACTGACCAGTTTATCTTGTGATCCAGCTGGGGCATGTGTGATGGATTAAGAAGGCTTATTGGACCTTCTCTGAGGAATGAATTTACTTCAGGCTTCAGCTGAAGCTTTTCATATTTCATGAAAGTAATATCCCTAGCAGAGCCAGTGAGCCTTTTAATGCATCTTGGCTATTACCCCCAGATAATGTTTCCTGAGTTTGAAGAGGAAGAAACTTCTGATCTTCTGATGCTGGTTATGTTAATCAGGGCAATCAACTCCTGAAAGTGAAAACATTGTAGTAAACTCGCCTAAAAACAGGCCAAGTTTTTCCTCCAATAAGCCTCCCATTTGTCTCATTGCCTATCTCCTGCATTGCGGTAGGTACAGTAATGGCAATTAGCCTTGAATACTTCATTATTTTCCAACTCACTGCACTCCTGAAATGTTGCACAAGGTCATCTTTCTGTTTAAGTTCATCCCAGAAGTCAGGGTAGAAGTACCTACGTTCTCTCAGCTGCAGTTCTCCTCTGGACTCTTATTTCTGACACATTTGGCCAATACAGAATCCAGTACCTGCTTCCAAAACGCAAAGGTGCTTTTCCAGATGACATATTCCTCATAGAGTTTGGCTGTCCAGTGTACATCCTGAGTGAAGGACTTTCCATGCTCCCTAGTCTTTCTGGTTAGTGCTGCTTTTTTTCCAGGTAGTTGATTAGTGATTGAAGAGAGGAATCTATGTATCTTCAAATCTCTTAGTTAAGCTAGTGACAGAATCCTGTGATTAGTGTTCCCTCAACAAGGAGATAATGGATATGTGGCCTTTGCTTTCTTGACAGCCTCACGAAGACATCAGTGTGGTGTCCTGGAATCGGCAGGTGCAGCATATCCTGTCCTCTGCTCACCCCAGTGGCAAGGCTGTGGTTTGGGACCTCAGGAAGAATGAGCCTATCATCAAAGTCAGCGACCACAGCAACAGAGTGAGTGGAGGAAAGACTCTGGTTCTAACTAGATTACGACGTGCCATGTGTCACTGCAAAGCAGTGGCACAGGCTCTTGGGATCAAGCGTTTTTGGTTTTGGTTTGGTTTTTTTTTTTTGTTGTGGGAGATGTTGGTGCTGGTTCTCTTAGAGCTGTAACATCAAAACACCTCTCTTTTTCCTCTAATGAAATGGAGAAACAAGACCCTTAGCTGTTCCTAAAATTAGGGCACCCTTGCATTCAATTTCTACGTTCACAGCTCATTTATGGGAAGCCTCCTGCATTTTAATCCCAGCTGTCTTCCTGGATCAACTGTGAACTAGTACTACTTCTGTATCGTTAGTGGGTTTTTTTGCTGCATAGGGGAAGGTAGAAATACTTGCTTCTCACAAAAAGGCATTGCTAGGCTTGCTTTACGTCAAGCATTATAGGTGAGTTAAGTGCAGAGTGACTTGGCTCTGGGCCATTTGTGCTACTGCCAGCTTGCTTTGCTGAATTTTGAGCCTGTACTATTTTTGTCCCTAGATGCATTGCTCAGGAATGGCCTGGCATCCAGAAGTTGCAACCCAGCTAGTCCTTTCCTCTGAGGATGACCGCTTGCCAGTGATCCAAATATGGGACTTACGTTTTGCTACCTCTCCTTTGAGCCAGCTGGAAGGGCACACGAGGTGAGGGCCTGCTTGTTGTGTTGCCTTTTCAAGGATCTCCATCTTTGAAAGGCAGACATCTGGGAGACTGGACTTAGGAAAACTATGATTTTTTTGCTAGGCCTCCTTTGTTTCACAGAGGAATGACTGATTTTTTTTCTGATCTATTTTAGGGGAGTTCTTTCTGTCTCTTGGTGCCAGGCTGACCCCGAACTGCTGTTGAGTAGCGCCAAAGACAACCGGATCTTGTGTTGGAACCCAAGCGTGGGGGAGGTACATAACCACAGCTATAAGTACACATGGTCTGCTTTGTACAGAGTTGTGTGCTATGCTATGTATGTGTCCCTTCGCTGTATCCTTGTGGAGTGCCAATGTAATTTCCTCCAGTGTGTCTTCTGCACTCTCCCTGTCTGGAGTGAATGAAAGTGTTGTCCATAACCAGACTGAAAACAACAGAGACAGGCAGAGATTTTCTTGGATATGTCTGTGTCCAGATATCATAGAGGGAAGAAATCTTTAACTAAAACTTAGATTCAGCTAATTATGATTGCTCTTGCTATGTTCACATATGTAATGTTCTCTGTGTCCATTTGTTTCTTCTTCCTTCTCCTAGGGTAGTAAGTTTCTTGAGGGGAAACTTCAAGGAAAATGAGGAGCATTTGTTAGGGTTATTGAGAGAGGAACAATGAGAGAGGAACAAGTGCAGTGGTTTCACATGTATGTGCTTATCTAGTCATGCATCTCAAAATTACCATCTTTGAAATATTTTAGTATCACCTGAATTAAAATAGGACTGTATTAAAAAAATTTCTACATACCTTCTTGTTCAATTCTGAATAGAACTGAATTTTGAACTTTGAACAAAATTAATGCAGTTGATCTTGATGATAGCATGGGGAAAGTACTCTAACAATACTGAACAAAGTCCAGCTGGGAGCCCCAGGTTGGATTCATTTCATGGGACAATTTCACTTAGCTGACCACCTTTGCCTTGGAGGCATGGAAAAAAAAAATTAATCCATTTTCATAAAGCCCATGAAATGTTGCTATTGTGCTTTCATGGGATTTGATGCTTACTCTGTACAGATGTCTAGTGGTTAGAAGAGAATTAAACTCTGAAATGTTCCTAAAGTCTAATTTTTACTAAAGTCGTTTCACTGTGTTTTAGCAGAAAAATTAAAAAAAAAAAGAACCCAAACAAACCAATTTTAGTGCAGCTGCCTTATCTTTATGCATGCTGCAGTACATTTGCAGTGTCCAAATTCAGCTTAGGCATTTATGCACAAACTATTGTTAGGGTGCTGTTCTTGACTTGGTACCAATGAACAGAAAAATTTCATGTGATACAAGGATTGGGAAGGTTTTCAATACTAAGGACAGTCCAGTTATACAGAATGGCTAATCTGGTGAATTTGGGACAAGGGTTAGCTTCTTTGTTTTTTTGAAGATATTTGGGGGGTTTTTTTGGTCATTGTTTTTCAGTGTTTGTTGTTTGTTTGGGCTTTCTTAACTTAGCAGTCCAGATTTTAATATAGGCAAATGCAAGGTTTTATATCTGGGAAGAGAAAATACAGATCATGTTCCCACAGAGGAGGAAGCTGTGATTCTCTGTGCTTTGTGCCTGTAAGGCATAAAGGAAATATCTTTGTTTTACGAACTGGAGGTTCAAAGTCAAGGTTGTGTTAGTGAGCTGCCCAACATCAGGCAGGAAGTCTGTGACTGGGCCATGAACTGAACTTTGAATTTTTGAGTGCTAGACCAGAAACTCGTTGGCTGCAATATCCTTCATAGTTCATCTGCAGCTATTACAGTCCTCTTTTGTTGTTCTACTTTTTTCTGTAGGCTTTTATTTTCTCTGTCAAATTTGTTATTCCAGTCTATTCTTTCTGTTTACATGTTCTTGCTTGTGACACCTTGCCTTTTGGCTTCTGGATTTCTTGTGTTGTTTTTCTGGTGTGTCTCCCTTGGTTAACAGCAGGTGTGACAGTACTGACTTGTTGCTTTTGCATTTTGTTCTACAATCAGCTGGTACAGCAGCTTTCTGCTCTTTGGGCTCAATGTGCTATAACTCAGTTGCAATGTATCCTTCCAGAGGCAAAAAAAAGAGACTTGTATACAATGGTGATATATAAATGAAGTGTGACACACTTGCTGTGGGCAAGTAATTTGGGGAAAGCAGGGGATTATTCATGTTGTGCTTCTGCCTTCTCTCTTTCTGTGACAGGTGGTTTATGAGTTGCCCATTAGGAGTCAGTGGTGCTTTGATGTCCAGTGGTGTCCTAGGAATCCTTCAGTCTTCTCTGCTGCCACTTTTGATGGGTGGATCAACATTTATTCTGTTATGGGTGGGAACTTAGAAGCTCAGCAGAAGACACAGGCTGACAAGGTAAAATCCTGTGAACAAGTTACATCTTGACAGATTGGCAATTACTCATCTGACTTCTGAGAGTGTTAGAAGCACACATGTGTAACAGTATGATTTTTAAGTGATGCAGTCTGTCCTACCCACCAGGATGTATAGCTATATGGTATGGGAACCAGAAGCTACTTGTGGGGGGACTTAATATCCTCCAGGTCCCAGAGGAACTACGCTGCCTCTTGACAAAGGTGTCTCAGTATTTCTTGTAAAATTAATTGAAGTGTGTAAAGAGAACCAAGATCAAGTGGTGATTAGGGAACTGGAATATCTTTATTATGAGGAACATCTTTCTTATGAGGAAAGGCTGAGGGACTTGAGTCTTTTTAGTGTGGAGAAGAAAAGACTGAGGGGGGATCTTATCAATGCTTATCAATACTTAAAGGGAGAGTGCCAGGAGGATGGGACCAGTCTTTTTTCAGCAGTGACCAGTGACAGGACAAGAGGTAACGGGCACGAACTTGAACACAGGAAGTTCCATCTAAACATGAGGAGGAATCTCCTTACTTTGAGGGTGGCAGAGCAGTGGCACAGGCTGCCCAGAGTGGTGGTGGAGTCTCCTACTCTGGAGACATTCAAAACCCGCCTGGATGCCATCCTGTGCAACCTGCTGGAGATGACCCTGCTGTGGCAGGGGGGGTGGACTAGATGATCTCCAGAGGTCCCTTCCAACCCTGACCATTCTGTGATTCTGAGTTTTGATGGCATATATATATTACGGTTATTGCTACTAGACTAAAAATAAAGCAGCACATCTGTTAGAGCAACAAACTTGTCTTGTCATTGAAAGTTAAAATTAAATACATTGATACTGATTAATACAACATGTCATTCTTCATTAGTTCAGAAGAGAATTTAAAAAAGTTTATAAGCCACTATTAGCAATTTTCCTCAAGTCAATTGACTATAACTTGGAGCATATTAATATTTTGATACTGAAACCCATTACTTAGCCACTGAATAGATGGGCAAACTCTGAACAGATTAAATGTCAGTACTGTCTAAAATTTTAGTTTTAATCTGGCGTCTAGTCTTTTAATTCCCTCCCTCTCTCCCAGCCAACAAATGCCTCACAATACAGGTTTTAAGAGAATACGTATGAGCTGGCTTAAGTGTTATTTATACAGTAATTTACAGCTGACTGAGCTCAGTTTCATAGGATTTGCAAGAGAAAGAAAATACTTTATCAAGCAACAGCTGTAGGAGATTAAGGATTTATTTAACCTATGGAGAATTCTCTTTATGTGCATTCAGGTGCATGTGCCACGCTTATGCTCTTCAAAATTGGAGAACAGTACTATAGAATAACTCCTAGATAAATAGAATAACAAGTAAGAACAAAAATAGGAGAAGATAATGACAATTATGGAGGTGGTGAGTTCATGACCAAGAGGGCTTTTTCCTCTGGATTCCATGGTATTAGGACAAAAACTCTGTTGAAGACCTGGTGACTGATTACTGGTACCCTGGTAGTGTGTATTTATTAAGGTTTAGGGTGATTGATTTATTAAGTATAAGCTATTCCTCCAGGAAATGGTCTTTCTTTGGAATTGGTTTCCCCTTAAGAAAGACTGGAAAGACAAAACGTGTAGGTCTTGCCTCTGATGCTTTGTTTGGCAACCTTGGCTTGATGAGCCTTGTGTTGCGTCTTTTCAGGTATGCTGGTCAGCTGTATTTTGGAGCTATGCCCTATGGTCCAGTCAAACTTGAACAGGGTTATCTCTGGCAAACAACAAATCCACGCCAACAATGTTAAAAATTAAGAGTGCTTGTGAACAGCATTGTATGTATGCTCACTGCCTTCCTAAATGCCAGAAATCCAGATCAGAGGCCAATTTTGACTCACTCTTGCCTAGGCAAGAAAGTCTGGAGAGATTATTTCACCAGCCTCATCTAAAGTATAAAAACTTGAGACAGCCCTTAAAACTAACCCATTTGAAAGACCCCAGCAACAGAAAGGGAGTCAGCATTCCTTTGAGAGCAAAACAAGAAATAAGTTGTACAACTTTTGACCATATGTTGTCACTGTCTTGCATAAACCAAGTTATTTTGTAACTCCTGTGTTTATGAGCTGGGTGCTAAGCCAGGCAGTGTTTGTTAGGGAATTTGCATCTTGCTCGGGAAAAATTGCTTGAAAATCTCTCAAGGTGAAGCATTCTTGAGAAATAATGTCTGGAACTTTTCGGAAATACCGTTTCTTTCACATAGAGGCTTGGTGGTATTCCAGGAAGAGGTGCTGTCATAGCCTTTTTCTTCATCAGCAAGGAGAGTAACTAATTACAAAGCAACATATTTTTTTTTTGTGCTTACTCTGTACAGAGAGCAGTTGGGTTATATCTTATTTCTTTCTGATTCTGATTCAAGATCTCTTCCTCCTTCAACAACCTGGATCCCTTTGGCACAGGACAGATCCTTCCTCCGCTGCAGGTGCCAGAGCAAGTAGCTCAGACCACCTTGATTCCACCACTAAAAAAGCCACCCAAGTGGATTCGCAGACCTGTGGGGGTTTCATTTGCAGTAAGTGAATGGAGTATCCTTAGCTTAAAATGCAATAGATGCCTCATCTTGTGACACAGTCCTTTTCTTTTGCTACAAAAACCTTTTTATCTTCCCGTTGCTAGTTGTTTTAATGCCTGTTTAAGGTGCAGTGTGGTATCCCATAGAGCGAAGCTCTTTTGCTCAACATTCAGATATATTTCCAACAAGAAGGCCTGTAGCAGAAAATGGGAGATATAAGTAAGAGTTAACAAAGCTAAGGGAGACTGATAAAAGCTGTCCTTGTAGGCTGTAACATGCATTCACACTCTTCTCTTTCTCCTTCGTATCCAGATATTTAATTTTCTTCACCTCTTTGCTCCTAAATTGAAAGGCTGAATTGTTCTTTTAGCCTGTTGCTTGACATGTTCTCTGTCTGTTTAGAGCCCACCGTGCGCATGATAGTTTTTATGATTGCAGCCTGCCTCTGCATGTTAGAAAAGACCCAAGAGTTCCAAATGGTACTTTTTCCTCTGTGCCTCTCTGGCATTTGCAGTTGTCTAGGCCTGAATAGCACATACACAAGTGGCATGGTTATCAGCCTTTGGCTGAAGGGCTTGTGACGTGAACTCTCTCAATGTCCCCTACCATCCATACACATTAAACTGTCTGTGTTCCTTGTGATCACGGCTGGAGTCCACCTTGCTGAATGAAGAGCTAAGAGAGTAGCTTTTACCTTGGTTTACAAGAATGCTTATTGTCTTAATGTCTCCTTCTGTCTTTCTCAGTTTGGAGGAAAACTTATTTCCTTTGGTCTTACCAAAGCTCCTGGACAGCAAACGCAGCAGCCTTACCCACATCAGGTATTCATCAGTCAAGTCACTACTGAAACTGAATTCCTGCTCCGATCCAGAGAACTGCAAATGGCCTTGCAGTCAGGGAACCTCCTTGATTACTGCCAGAGCAAGATCCAGACAGCCAAGTTGCCATTTGATGAGAACCTTTGGAACTTCTTGAAGGTAGGATGGCTGTGGTGAAACACAGAGGTCGGTTCTTTTACAGTCCTGGGGTGGAATGTGTTCATTATGATCTTCCCTAGCCCTTTATATTCCTGTTCTTTAAGACATAAAATTGAACTGAGTAGGCTAGTTAGTTATTTGTCTAAAGAAAAGTTTTTGCAGTTGAGGTCTTGGAGGTTGCCTTATTTTTCAGTAGGAATGGTCTTTTCAGTGGACTCATTTGGGCTTCCTGTCAAGGTGCTAAACAGGATTTTCTCATCTCAACTCACTGCTCCATCTGTGGAGCTCTGTTAATATTTCTCAAAGCAAAGTCCAAATGCACAATGAGATTCCTCGGTAAAGTGGTGGCATAAGGACTGACTGTAGCACTACACAGGAAGATGGTTTCATTCACAATTTGGTAATATGAAGGAGTTCAGTAATGAGGAGCGGCCACCCTTCTGGAAGGGGCAGGGTTTAGCCATTGCAACAAAGTCTTCAGCTGCATTGGATGAGATACGTCAAACTCAAGAGTATGAGATATGAGATACGTTCTAGTGAATTTTTATAATCCAGCCGGCCCATGGTCCTGTGAGACCACTCCAGCATGTACAAGATCTGTTACTATTGATTGTCTTAAACTACAAACCAAGCTTCTGTACAAAAGACTGTCTTACATGACCATGTCTGCATCTGCAAGAACAGTTTCTACTGACTGTTTACAAGTATCTTATCCATGTACAGTTTGGTCAGTTCTGTAGTAAGAACAGCCTGGGACTTACTGAGGCAGACGGATTCTCCTTGCAGAATGTTAGTCGTGCATTAAAGCATACAAATAGCGCTTATCAGTTAGGTTGCGTGCAGCCTGTGGGAGCCTCTGGCACTGTCTGAAATCCCCACTTAGGGAGTTTCTATAACAATTAGTTAATTAACTTTTGTGAAGCCAGCTAGGAGTTCAGGCAACCACCTTGTCTCAGTTTCATCTGGACTCAAATCAGTCCATTGCCTCTATGCAGAGACTAGCTTGGCAATTTCTAGACCATCCAGGGAATTAATGACCAAGTACACTAAGTATGCATATAGTTATAGCCCTGATGTGCAGTTGTGCCTCTGTTGTAACTATGTGACAAACTTGAATTTCAACCCTTTTATCATGACTTTTATCATAACTTAAATTCCATAGATTTTCCCACAGTAGTCATTAGGTAGACTTGTCACAGTTGAGTTCCTTATCTATAAACTGAGCTCTAAACTTTGCTGCTGCCAGAAGCAGCCAACTGTTAGCAGTGTGTAGATGTCTAGGATTTTACATATTTTCTTATCTTTTTCAATATCCTTTGGGACTCAGGTGAACCTGGAGCCAGAGTCCAGAACTAAACTCCTCAAGCTGCTGGGCTACAATAAAGAGGATCTGCAAAAAAAGGTAAGGGCTCTTTCCAATAGAGAGAAACTTTTACAGGACTAGAGCTGCTGCAAGAGAGTTTTAGGGTCCCTACTGGAAATGAGTGAGTGATCTCACAGCACACAAAAGACCAAACTGTATGAAATTTCAGCTGAGAGGCACCTCAAGTATCACTTATTAAAAAGCAAATACGGGCATTTTTAAGGGTATAACTGTAGCTGTACTGGATTAAACCAAATGGGTCTTGAGTCTGGTTATCTTGCTTCCATTTGTTGGTGCCCTGGGAAGTATATAACAACAGTGCAGTTGTGAGAGCTTCTTCTAGCATCCAGCGCTCTGCATCTCGGGGGATTCTTCAGCCAGGAAGAAGGTGGCAGATGAAGACAGTCTGGCATAGCACTGATGGAGCTGCAGGGAAGGAAACTGACAGCAGCATGGACAATGCTCTGAAAAGGATAGATAACTTCCGATAGGCAGCTAGCCAGGAATAGGAACAGGTGTGGAACTTTTCAAGCAGGTGAAAGAGCTGGGGGAATTGTGTCTGGGGCTTACCAGTCACTTGGTGGCTTTGCTGTCCAGGCTTTTAACTTTGATAAGAGCTTCATTCTGAATGTCTGTTACTTTTCCAGATTGCCTCATGTTTGAGTAATGGGATCCCAGATAAGCAGCCCCTTCCCGAGGCAGATGAGACAAATGCTGCGGAGCCAGATCAGGTATGTCCTGTGTATCTTGCCAATCTGGGAGAGCAGTGGAGGGCAGAATGAACAGGAAGGTTTCATTCAAACCACAAGTTGTTGGGCTTAATGCAGGCATCGCAGAGGGCAGTTCACAGGCCTGTCAGACCCTCACAGGGTCAGATTAAACGATCATAGTGGTCCTTTCTGGCTTTGAAACAAGTCAGCGAATGATGAAGACGGACTCCTGGCTGTTAACACTGCAAGAAGGCTTGCTTCACCAGTGCTGATTTCTTCTATGATAGAATTAGCCTCACCCCATCTTAACTTCATGCTACAATTCTGGATTTCCTCTGCGAAGCTTCTGCTGTGGTATTTCTTTTGCATTTCTTTCCTTTTCACCTCTGTCCTTTGAAATGTATTCTCACGTGATTTTGGGATGTCCATCTTCAGATGCCTTCCAAGGCCTGGTTCACCATGCACTGTAAATTTTGCTCCTCTAAGGTATTTGAAACTGCTATGCTCAAATTACTAATCTTCTTCACAAACCTTAAACGCTTGCTGAGGTATTCTAGGGATAGCAGTTATGACCTGCATTTCAATAGAGCACCAAGCGTGGCTGTGATCCTGCCTGTTTATTACAGATATCACTTGTTGGGCTTGTCTCTATTCCATCCATAATTGTTCAGCTTGCTAAAGGGCTGGCAGTTGAGTTGATGAATGCTGGCCACCAATACTGTTGGCATTGCATGTCTTACACTGTTAATCTCCTAAATTTTGTCAATAGCAGCACGCCACTTGTTGCTGCCCTGGTGAAACTATGCAGATTGATAGAGCAGTGGCAGGTTGACAGAGCAGTGACAGGAGGCATGATGGACTTCCAAGTTGAAATCACATTTATATGAGCATGCTCAACCAAATGGAGAGCAGCCCCATCCCACTCTAATCCATTAAATCATTTTGGGTAGGATCTGTGTGTTCAATGAATTAATTAACCTCTTGCATTCTTTGCACAGCTTTTGATAAATTCCAGTGATGATGCAGCTGCTGTTTCCTCCTCTTCAGCCTTTTTCGACAACCTCATCCCACAGAATATGAGCACATTGGAGATTCCTGTCACAGAAGGTATGTTACATGAAATGTGTTTCTGCCCTCTTAGGAAAAGGAGAGAGGAGGGAAAACCAGAAAATTAGAGAGACCAGGGAGAATCTGGTCCACTGATTTAAAACACATGACCTATCGCACTGTCGTGCAGCATCTCTCAGCATTGTGCAAAGAAATACTCTTTGCAGATAAGAGATCCATTAAAAACATAGGCGAATCTTCTAGATGATGGAAGACTTTATGTGAAGTCAGTGGATTTTTTTTTAAAGTGCAAAACCTGATTTGACTTTCCAAATCTTCATTTAGCTGGGTTTCCATATATTATTGTTTTTTACTGCCTAGTTTTTAAAACAAGCATCATCAATGCATCTGGATGATGCTCCTGTGGGTTGACTCTGTTTCTCACCTCTGTAGATACGGATGGACTCATCAGCCAATCCCTTTTATTGGGGAATTTTGAGGGTGCAGTGGAGCTGTGCATGCGGGCAGAGCGCTTTGCTGATGCCATCATCTTAGCTATAGCTGGTGGGGAGAACCTCCTGAAGGAGACCCAGAAGCGCTACTTTGCCAAGCGTAAGACAAAACTCTCCCTGGTAAGTGACAGTTTTGTGTACACACTGAACAGGGGAAGGTGTGCGATATCTTGGCAGATGTTTGTCTGAATATATGTGGAAATACTTTGGCAGGAAGTAGAATGTCAGTGGAATCTGTGCATCTCCTCTTGGCTAGACATTTACTCTAATCTCTTGGTAGTTTTATGACAACTTCATGTTGCCCACCTAGGATGTCTGTGTTCTCTGTTTCTTTTAATCTTCTGCATCAGCTCCCCATGTAACCTTTGGAACATACTGCCTCTTTACAGCTCAGCTAGGAAGGTCCTAGCTTATTAATTGACAAATGAGGAATTTAACAGGGTTTGGGATGCCCTAACACTATATTCCCAGTCATTGATCCTAGCTGCTCTGAAACAGGATATGTGTTAGATCGTTAGTCTTGCCTAATGTGGCTGTTTCCATATTCTTTTAAGTGCTTTGTTGGGCTTTTTTACTTTCTTTAGAGGCATCAGGTTCCAATTACTGTTAATATTGGGACGCTGGGATTGGTGGACCTTAATGTACACTGAGGTAGTTGCTGCATAGTGGGAAGTATGCCTGAAAGTGAGCTATCCCTGTGGGCGCACTTGCTTAAGCGGTCAGTTTATCTTTGTCTTCAGTGACTGACAGGCCTTCTGCTTCCTTTGCAGCTGCTTTCCTCCATTGTGCAGCAGAACTGGCAAGATATTGTTTGCACGTGTGACCTACAGAGCTGGAAGGAGGCACTGGCCATCTTGTTAACATACTCAAAGCATGAGGACTATACTCAGCTCTGTGGTATGCAGTGTACTACATTTTGATATGTGTGAATTGAGGGTAGATTTAGACTAGATACAAGGAAGAAATTTTTTACAGTGAGAGTGATGAAACACTGGAACAGGTTGCCGAGAGAGGTGGCAGATGCCCCATCCCTGGAAACATTCAAAGTCAGGTTGGACGGGGCTCTGAGCTACCTGATCTAGTTGAAGATGTCCCTGCTTATTGCAGGGGGATCGGACTAGATGACTTTTAAAGGTCCCTTCCAAACCAAACTATTCTGTGATTGATACAGTTTCGTGTGTGTGTGTAACTCCTGACTGCTTACAGAAAGAAGTGGATACTGTTGAGGAAGGAAAGCGCTCCTTACTCGTTACAGCTAGCTGGAACTTAAGTGTGGTCTGGTGAGTTAGGAGAATGATACATGCATGCTGTAGCTGAGAGTCATAGTGTAAAGTTATATATGCTGATATTTCCTGTCACTGCTACCAATAGCATGGATAAAAACAGGATAGGCACTAGACTGAGACACTAAGAGAGTGATATTTATTATTTTATTCTATGGAGAAAGGGATTTCCTTGACAGTAAAAGGTCAGGTGGGCCTCACTCCCTCTTTCAGCGTTTTACCATTCCAGCGCATTCTCCTCCCTTTTAAGTTCAGAAACAAGGGTTAATGAATGTTTGATGGATTCAGTAGTTTTCTCAATCCTGTTAATAGTCCAACATGCTCAGCAACTGATATTTCTGAGGGTCAGAGTTAGGGAATAATCTAGTGACTGAATCTGATGAAGTTATTCATGTTGCTTAGCTGGGAACCTGTTCCTGGCTGATGGGAACAGCTAAGTGCTGTTGGAGAAATGCCAGCACTTTATACAAGTAAGATGACGCAACTTGAAATGCAAGAAAACATGATGTCTTTTACAGACCAAATTGTAAGGGTGGAAAGTGGCAGTGGCAGTGGTGATAGTGAGATAGCTTCAGCTCACCTTTATTTCCTCGCATTTGCTAAACATTGACAACTACCAGATTACTAGCTGTCCCTGATACTGGACACTACTGTTGCCAGGAGATTCCTACACCTCTTTGAAAAAAAACCAAAACAACAAACAAACAAAGCCAAACAACAAAAGTGTTGGATTTTTTCACTGAATTAATCTTTTTAAGGGTTTTTCTTTCTTTTCTGTATGTCTGGGCAACATATAAAAATTGGCAGGTATATAAAAAAAATTACTACTTTTTTCAACCAAGTTGGATTTGGGATTCCTTAATGATGCCCATTTCTCTGTGTTATCAAAGAATTAGGTGCAGATCCAAAGCTGTCAACACCTTTTCATGCCAAGCCAGGATCGCTATGAGATGAGCATTGGGGTTAATGAGCTCTTAAAGAAGACAGTGTGTTAAATGTTGGCTGTATTTCTTCCTCTCTAGACATGCTGGGTGCCCGCCTAGAGTCAGAGGGAGATGCGGCCCTGTCCAACGACGCCTGCCTCTGCTATATCTCATCAGGCAATGTGGAGAGGTTGGTGGGATGCTGGGTAAAAAACCATGAGACTTCGTCACCCCTTGCCCTACAGGTACAGGTGCTATAATGTTGGTTTGACTTCTTCTTAGGCCAGTCTGGTAGCCCTGATCTGTTTGCGTTGTCCCACCAGAGTATCTGGCTTCCAGCAGACAGTGGAGACCTGTTTGTAGTCACCAAGATATATCTCCTTCTAGCCTGGATTACGGGCTTACATTTAAAGGACACTTGCACTCTTAAACTTTACAGGTTTGTGTGTTTAAGAGAGTACTGATTACATTGTACATATATCCAGCCATGGACAGGAGTTATGGCCTACCTGCCTGTCTTTGTATACTGATGTCATCTCTGAGCTTCCTTTTAGTCAGAGAAGTTTAGACTGTAGCTGTTTTCTTACCGGTAGTTGCCTGAGAGTACATTTGCTGTTGTGCTTGTCGTGTCTAACTGTAATGCTCCAGTTATCTGCCTGTACCTTCAGAACAGCCTCTGGCAAAAGTCTAGACTGTGTTATTCCCACTGCGAGTAGAATGATCACATATGGGAAGTCATAGCTTGCAGATGAATCAGGGCTTCTAAGTCAGTGTTGTTACCTACCTGTTACACTTAAACCAGTCCTGGCTAAGTCACTAACCCCTCTTGTGTCCACCAGTTGCTAGAATGAACCAGACAAGTCTTCCTCTCAGATATCTGCAGATAATGCTCTCTGCTACGGAGTTCCTTGGTTTTGCAACCCCACTAGTGAATGACAGCAACAAAAAGGCATCTTCAGCATTCCTGGTTATGTTTGAAACTGGCCTCCTCCCAGATACCGGTTATCAGCCAATGATGCATATATCGTTCTACAGATAGAAGCATTACTTTGATTTCTAGGAGTTGAAGGAGCTTTGAATAACTAAAAACCTTCTGGTCTGTTTCTCAGCAGTAGTAGTATTTCCATAGTGAATTTCTCCTGGTATGGTTTTAATCCTTTCTCTTCCAAGCTGATAACTTGTAACTCTTAGAGTTAGTAACTTCCTAGTAAAATGGTCACAGTTGATTGGAATGTCCTTGTGGGTTCTGATTTTCTTTTCTCCCTTACCATAAAAGTAGCAGCATCAGGGTTTGCTTCTTGATTCCTGTGTTTCTCCACAAAGTGCACCTGAGGAAGCAGTAATCAATGGTAGTATCTGGCAGAGAGTGGAGTAACTTCTGTTCCTGTTGGACCTGGTATCAGTTGAAAGTGGGGAAAGCCCCCTGGTGTTGTCTCAGCATGAGATGGACCGGTAAAGCAATACAGATTCTGAGAGCTCTGTTTCTTCTCTCCTCCTGGCTTTTTCAGGATCTCATAGAGAAGGTGATGGTGCTGAGCAGGTCTATTGAGATGCTCCGAGGCACAGCAGGTCCAGCGCCAGGCCGTGTCTTGGCAGAACGAATCACCCAATATGCCAGTCTCCTGGCATCTCAAGGATGCTTGGCAGCAGCAATGAATTACCTACCCAGCAGCTCTAAAGAGGTGAGTGAGAAATGGGTTGTTGTGGGAAGCAGTAGTATATGGGGAAAAATGATACTTTGTACCAGAGAGAGCTTGGGTTTTGACATGCATTAGGTCTCACCTTAATTATGGTAACCTGAGGTTACCACATCTGAGGTGTATTTCTTTTTCTGGGACACAGCTTTCATCTTCATTTGATTTTTCTTTATATTGCCTTTGATTCAGGGAAAAGGAAGGGAGCTATAGAACTGTGCAATAGTTCCTGGAGAACAGTGCTCGTCACCAGCTCTCCGGGGAAGCTGCATCTATTTCTGAAACTAGGTGGTAGAGGAAGGGAATGGAGAAGTCAGCTTGTAGTTTGAAACAAATCTGTCTCGTGCCCAAATGTGGTTAGGGGTTGGGGAGGGAAAATTCTAAAGACTGGGGGAAGGATCGGTGAGTCTTCATCTGCCTGGGAATAGGGCAGGTGATGTCCAAGGTTGTTGCTTACAGTTGGTTTGTTTTTTCCTGGCGACTATTGGGGAAATGGTTAGTTTTGTAGGTTGATGCTCAGTGCTTTGGGTCAGAGTCTGCTTTGAATGCCTCCCCAGCACCTTCCATCTGAGGCTCTCAAGGCACTTCTCCTAAAGCATAGTTTGTTTCAGCTCGTGATTGAACAGCTCCGAGACCGGCTTTTCCATGCTCAAGGAGATAATGTGGGTGATCAACAGCCGCCCCCTTTCAGTGTAGGTGTCATTAAACACACATCTCCAGCAGCCAAGGATGGTTCTACCCCTGAAGGAGCAGCCCACAAAACAGGTCCCAGACATCCAGAGAAGGTAGGCCTTAAGCTCGGGTGTTCATGGCTTGGGGAGAGGGAGGAAGGCAGGCTACTGGGTTGTGGAAGACATACAAAGTAATATGAGATGGTGCAGACTGCAGGCATTGAGGAACCGTCAGTGATGTCCTTCACTGGAGAAAAAAAAGTTCTGTGATAATCCAAAAGTAGGCTGTCTGGCATCTTTTCACAAAGCTCTGTCCCACATGCAGTCACTGGAGGAGACTGTTACAAGTGTAGTAATCCACTGAGATCTCGCAGTCTGAGGAAAAGGGGCCTGTGGTTCACTCTCCTATGCTCATCTCACCCTCATATCTCAGTAAAATTAGTGTAGTATGGCTTAATATCAGTTCTTTCACAAGAAAACTGTTAAGGAAGTTTTGCTTCCAGCCTCTGTTACTTCATTATTGTTCCTTCATTACTTCCTCTGGTTGTGCTTCCGGGAAGTCACTGTGTGGGAACTGACTCCTGAGGATTAATCCTTTTGAGAGCTGGAGAATACTCTGAAGAGTGTGGTATCCAGCTTGTTGAGCAAGTTATGTGTTGGGAAAGGCCTTTGATCCAATCCAGGGCACTGACAGCAGCAGCATCTTCTCTTGCCTGAGAAGTGTTAGGGATAGAAAGAGCATCTGCTTGTATGTGTATGCACGTGACTGGCCATTTGCAACTTCTTTGTTTTTTTAATTGCAGCCCAACTATCAGTCATCATTTGCCCCTTCAGCACCTTCTCAGCCTTCAGTGCCTTCCCTCTTCATGCCTCAGCCAGTGCCAGCGATGTCTATGACACCTCACCACGTTACCCCTCCCCAGGCCAGCACGGGTCCACAAACAAGTGTCTATTCCAGAGGGCCCCCGTACCCACAGTACAACGTGGGCTTGGTTCCAGCAAGCATTTCAGGGCCTGGTAAGCATTGTCTGATAGTTGTATCTGTTCTCCAGATTTTCTTAGACTAAAGCCTTCAACATGGATGGCTGTTCTACTTTCTTCTTCACAGGCCTATTGTACTTCCACAGAACAAGTCAGCGGTCTGAGAGGCTTTTCAGTGCTTCTGACATATCTAGTTGTAGCAACTGTTGCCGCACATCCACTGATATTAAGCATATAGAGAGGTAGAGAAGCCACAGCTAACTTTGCAGCAGAGTTTGATTGATGTAGCCTGGGTTATCGGGGATAAGCCGGGCATGGGTATGCTAGGGTATGGCTTGGAAAAGGGCAGACTTACTATCATGAAGGAGAACATCAAGAGTAGTTTGCACATGAAACAAGCGGTGCTGATACACTCTCTTTCTCATTTGTAGCTGTGTCACAATCTCAGCCATTTGGACCAGCAGGAGTCAGACCTGTTGGTCCTGCTCCCTTCCCCAGCCAGCCTTCTCTGCCAGGACAGTCCATGCCCATGACATCTCCTGGTGTTCCACCACCTGGACCTACCCTCTTCACTCCAGCCTCAGTCCCATCATCTCAGCTTCCTGCAGCTTGTCCTCTCCCTGTGGCAAGCCAGTCTCCTCTAGGTTTCTCATCAGCACCTTTCAACTGCCCCATGAATATGGGTTACCCTCAGGGAGGTCCTGGAGCTCCATCTACTAAGCCCCTGCCAGCAGCGAGCATTCCTCCTCCTCCCACAGGTAAGTACTGCTTGTGCGACTTGTTTTGTCCAGGACGCTCCTGGATGGGGTTTGCAGTATATAATGGACATGGACCTTCTGAGGTCTGGTCTGTCACCATAAAGGCTGGATGTGGCGCTGAGGCTAACCTTACAGGCACACTGTGCTGAGTCTTGCTGTGGTGGTGAAACACAGCAATGATGATAGTTTCATTCAGCCTGTTCAGTTGCTCTGTCCCCCAGGTTGTGATTACAAGATGCTGTCTCTTCAGGTCCCCAGTGTACCCTGAGAAGTCATCCACTCCAGAGGCTCTGACAGAAGGGGTGGTGGTTCCCAGGGAATTGCTGGTGGAAGGCTTGCTGATCTCGCCCCTACTTATGTAACTTACACAAGAAGTGCATTTGAAACGCTGGGAGAGCAGGGTCCTGCTTCTCTGTCCATGGGATACCCCTTGCTTAGCTTCAGGATAAAATTCCTCTGTCTGCTGTGCTCTAGTTCTCCCTGGTTTTTCCTGTTGCCATAAAGTGCTTGCCAGGGAATCACTTCTGGGTTCCTCTGTGCAGTGATACAGACCTGGTGCCTTTCCCCTCTGGGTCTGTAGTTTGAATCCAGCCCAGCCTGCAAGTACTGTGAAGTCCTTGCTATCATGATGAAGAAAGAGTTGAACCTAGTTCCCAGTGGATGGGCATTTCCTCTTTCTGTTTCCCACAACATCATCACATCTGGCGCTTGTTAATTCTTTGTTTGCTGTCTTGGGGGACAGGTTTAGCCAGACTGTGGTGGAGATCCCTAACAAATAGGCTGACAATCCGTAGATTTTTGAGCAGATGCTTCTCTCCAAGCCACGTGTATTCTGAGAGTGACGGAACTGAGGCTTTGAGGTTTGCCTCCACCTGGAATCCTTTGCTGAGCTGTGTTTAACCAAGGATAGCAAATCCCACTGTGTGAAGCCTGTGGGGACTACACACAAAGGCTCTAAGCTAAGGCTGGACAAATTCCTTCTGAAAAGCTATCAGGGATAGTAGTCCAGGAACATTACTCACTGAGTAAAAGCTGTCGGTGATGATGATTCTCCCACCCTGCCTTGACTTTCAGGTTTCTTTCCATGGCTAGATCCCCACGTGAATCATGCAGGTAGTACCCAGAGAAGCCTCCAGACCTATGGGGGAGGCAATGTTGCTGCTTCCAGTGAAATGTGGGGGGTGTGAGCACGTTTTACTGTGTGTGCATGATGCATGCTCGTTGCTGTTTGTTGTTTCCTTGCATGCCTGGGGACCTATACAGCTGGGGTAGGGGGCATAATTGTCCTGAGGACTGGGGTTGTTTGAAGTGAAATGAAAGCACTGGGCTCTTCCTGATGAGTTTGGGTACAGAGAGCTGGGGCGGGGGGGGGGTCCAGCTTCTTCCTTCTCTACTGTCCTCCAGTCCCGGAGGAATTAGAGCATTCTCAGTCTCTGTGTCCCTTCAGGCAGTTGCTGGGCCAACAGAACAGGGAAGCAGCACCTTTTCCTTTCTTGGTTCTCTAGGCAAGGAATAGGCCAGTGGTTGTAATTAATCTCTTGTTTTCTCCCTGTTACGCTCCCAGCCTTATGCATGGCTTTACTTGCACTTGTGCTTTCCCCAGGTGGTTTGGAAGAGGTGGGTCCCAGCATGAGCAGTGGTGGAGTAGAGCTTCACCAGTTTGGCTTCCCAAGCCAAATTTGGGGGCTCTATTCCAAGGGGAACCAGAAAGCCCTTTTGGATTTTGTTAGAGGGCAAGGTTTGGCTTTGAATCTCAGTCCATCTTACTGGCAGAATTTGTACTGTAGAACTTTTCTGACTGATGCTTCGTACTGATTTCTCTCCTTGGGATTCATTAATGATGGAAAGTAGGTATTTACCAGCCTACATTGCCAGTGGGGTAAGGCTCAATGTCTTAGTGGGCTGTTTCTGCAGAGTGACTGCTGCTCGCACTAAAGACCAGCTGCCAGGCATAAAAGATTATCTAGGGACTCTCAGCTTTATTTAGGAAATCTGAGTACTCGGTAGCCACTTACACCACCAAGCAAACCTTGCTGTGTGGAGTGGGACTCTAGAAAGGGAGTTGCCCCTTCAGCAGAGAAACAAAAGACCCTAATGTTTCCCTCTTACAGGAAAGATGATTGCATGGCAAGGATTTCAAGCACTGCCTTAGGCTGAAGATGCCCTGTAGGAATTCACTGCTGGGAAGTTCACTTCTCCTGGCAGCATTTACCCCCAGTTTTAATGGCAGCATATGGCATGCCCAGATCAGCAGTGCAAATTGCCTTCCTTGAGAGTGCTTTATTGCCTGCTATTATTGTTTTGGTTTTGATGGGTACTTTAGCCTGGAAAGAGACTGTAAGATCATTTAATCTGAGTAACCAAACTTGCTTGCTTTGGAAATTCCTGAACATGATCTGAACAGCCCATGAACACATTTTCACAAGCGCAATGAAGTGAGATCTCCACTTGTAGAAATCCCATGCTCCTGCAGAGTGTCAGGGACAGGGTGAAGGACAGCAACACGTTAGCTGATCTCCTTTCTGGCCGGGCTAATCCCTGACTCCAGCCTGTGATGGTCTTGTTTTTTCTAGGACAGGCATTGCTGGAGACTGCTGCCATGGGGCACTCCTTTCAGGGTTGGTGAGAAATCCTCTTTCACAAGTAGCATAGGCAAGATAGTCAGAGTTTCATCCTAGCAAAATGCAACAGGGTCCTGTTGTCCATCTCTGATGCCTGGCTTACAGGCTATACTTCAAATAGCTGTTTCCTGTGAGGATTCAAAGTGCCACTGGGTTGGAATAGTGCCAGGGACTGCTAGGCCACAGGCTCGGTGGGGGCCAGCAGAGTTCTAGGGCACAGAATCCCCAAGCTAGAAATAAGTGCCAACTTAATTAAATTGCTGATCCAAACTCATCAGAGAGCAAGTCTTGAAATCATGGGAAAAGGGAGGGCAAAAAGAGACTGCCAGAATTTTAATAATAAAGGTAATTAAAGTAATGAAGCACCTTTTGCATCTTTCCCCTGTGATTTTTAAAGCTCAGTTTGGGATCAGTGACTCATTAAGTGTGGCACTGAGCTTCAGCAATTCTGATATTGCCCCTTAGAATTATTCCACTTTCTCACAGATTATTTCTGTCTCTTGGGCTTGAGGTGATTAATACTGGGATGACAAAAGAAGTGCTGGGGTTTTGCCTAAAGATACAGGTACCCTTACAGGACAGCAGCAGACAAGGTAGTTGGAATTTGACCTTCGCAGAATGAAGTGTGGTCGCAAGTCTTTTGATGTCATGTTGTCTGATGGATTTTTAATTAGCTGGAGTGAGGTTAGGGGCTAGGTACCACAGAAATGTCTACTGAGACACCCCTCTGTTCCCAAGGCATTTACTGGTTAAGTCTTTTCCCTTCTAGTTGGGAAGCCAGCAAATTTTGCTAAGCTTTAGTACTGAACATGATTTTGAAAGGGGAAAATTTCAACCAGCCGCTAACTTTCCTCCTGTTATCACGGCAACCTGCATTGCTGTGGACTGCCACCGTGAGGCACTCCTGTGAGTGTTGGTGAGAAGCCCTCTCTTGACCCGCAAGGTAGCCCTGGCTGTGGTACCACAGCGCTAGGTTCTCTGTTTGGGGAATCCCAGGAGCTTCCTGAACCCTGCTGTGCACACACATGCAGGTCCCAACCCAGGTTCAGGCCTGACGCTGAGGCTGACTTCTGAATGTGGAAAACTTCAGGTAGTTTTGGAAAAGCTTTCTGTGTGGGAGTGGGTGTGTGTCAGTTCAGTCTGATCAGATATCATCTCATGAAGCCTGTGCACATACTCGGATACCTGTGAGCTGGGCCTGAAATTCCTCGGTGGAAATGGTCTGTAGGTGCTATGATGGGGGAATTGGAGCCATAGGCCCTTTTGCTGAGGGAAGTTCCAAACCATGCAAGCAGCCATGAATTGTTGCTGTGGCCACCTTCTCAAAGCCTCACATTTGTGTCTTGTTTTCTCTCCTTGCAGCTCAGGAATCTTGGACTGATCCCTCTGCTGCAAGAGGAGGCCTTCAAAAGAAAAAGGTAAGCTTTCAGCTGTAGTGTGTTTTGGTTGTCTTTTAGCCAGGGAGCTCCATGCAATTCCTATAAATGCTTCCTGTCACACTCAGCAGGTCTCATTCCACGTTGGTCTGTCTACTTCTGCATTTGCATATGTAGACTGGAGTCTAAGTCATCTTTACCCTTTGCCATCTAAACTCACATGCTATTCTCTAGGGTGGTTGTTTTGTAACATGGTTATTGTCTGTGACACTGCATCCTCTGTCCATGCTTCCCAGGCTGACTACAGTCACTTGTTGCTAGAAATACAGATTTAATCTTATCCCCTTGCCCACACACTTTTTTGATGGTGGTTGGGGAGATCATGCTCAGTTCACACCTGACAGTTGGGGGCAGCATTTCCCCTCAGCACAGTGAGACCCACAATGATTTTCCTCAGATGCTGATACCAACTGATAGGGCACTTCTGCTGAAAGAAGTTGGGACAGGTGTAGCTGTGAGCTGCCTGCCATGTTTGTCCTGCTGCTCTCTGCCTTGTAGTGATTGCACTGGAGGACCTGTGAGCTGAGCTCTTTTGCCACAAATGCTCTCAGTACCTCATTTCTATCACTGCTGCCTGCTGGCAGGTATGATGAGAAGCTTCTTTGGCGCTATTCCCACCCCCCGCTCCTCTTCTTTAGCTTGGAACAGACTTCTCGCCCTTTTTCTGGCAGCATAGCTGGGAACCTGCTTCAGGCTGTGCTCACTACAACAGGATTAGCCTCTTGTTAAAGCCATCTCCTTTTGATCTAGCCCTGTCGGAGTGAATCTATCCTGACTCTCTGGCTTAGCAGGGGCACGATGAAGTGTTTGCAAGAGGATTCTCCCCCCATGTCGTGGGATTTTCCCCAACACTTGCTCTGTTGGACACTTTACTGCTGCTAATCTCTACATTCAGGACTCGTGCCGTCGCAGAGCCAAGGCGGCTTTCTGAGGACCAGTGCTTTCAGGGGCAACGGATCTGTTTGATTGAACAATTCCAGAGGAGTTTTCTTGCTGTCGCTTTGACTGTTCATCTAGGATGCAAGAGGAAGGGCCCCATGCTCTGAGCCAGGGGGCTGAAAGAACAGGGATGTGTTACACATCGTCTTGAGAACTGAGCACTCTGCAAGTTAGAAAGGAAGTTGAATTTGACTGCAGAGAGTGTAACCAACTCTCCTTCCTTGGACTTGGTTTTCTTGATTTTATTTTTTTTCTTTTCTTTCTTTTTGCTGACAGTTGACTGAGAAATTTACTCCTCCAGCCCCCATCACAGCTCCAGTAATGAGCTTGCCTGCTGAGCCCCAAGGAATGAATCCTCAGCTGTCCAGGTTGCAAGAATCAGGCCAGTCACCCCCAGGAGCACCCAAGGAAGGCAGCCTGCAGGTACCCAGGGAATGTGGGGTGTTCCGCAACCACCATCTCCTTGTAGAAATACAACTCAGCTTTTGAGATTCTTATTACTTGGCAGCTGCGGGGCTTATGTTGCTCCCTAGCCCTTATAAGACATATCTGTCTGAGTGTTAGGGGAATTGCCAGGGTGGAAGATGACACCTGGGTACAGCTGGGAGAGAAGGAGGGAGGCCAGGCAGGCTGTGAGCCTGCTGGGAGTTGGAAACCCACAGAGGCCTGAAGCTATACCACAGTGTGAAGATTATAATCTAACCCTGTGCTTCCAGGTATTCTCTGGGTTTACAAAGGGGTGAAATTCTTTCTGTTCATAGTTGCAGGAGGGGAATCTACCTGCTCCAGCCTTTCATGCTCCTGTTGCATTCATTCAGCTGCTTCTCTCTCTGTCAGTATCACCAGCTACCTGTGGAGAGGGTTGAGAAGAAGGAGGTTCCCCCTGAGCACCAGGCTCTGAAGGCCACATTTGAAGGGTTGGTGCAGCGCTGCTCTGCTGTTGCCACTGATCCAGTAAGTCCTCCCTTCTCTAATCTTTGGCTTTTTTGCCCTCATAGATGTTTGACTGGTGCTTCCTTCTTTTTGTTGGGAGAAGAGAGGAAGTCTTATCACTGTAACCAAGTTAATCTCTATCTGCCTCCTTCCCTTAGGCTGTAGGCTTGTCCATCTCTTGGGAACTGAGATGCATTCTCTAGCATTTATCCACTGCTTCTCATTGCCTCTCTGGAGCAATGGTTCTGTCCTCCTGGCTCTTTTCTCTGAGGAAAGTGGAAGAAATGACCTAGCTAGTTCAGCTTCCTTTTTCACTGGCTTGATCTGTAGATAGTTCCTGCAGAGCTGGTATTACCAGCTATCCTCAGAGCTTAGAGGGAAAGGCTGAGATGTCTGGCTTTCTCTTCCAGCCAGGATAATCTTTGTGTCTGAGTCACTGTAATTTCTCCACCCTGGTTCCTGGACAGCTGTTGGCATACATGTCACATTGTGTGAATGTATCAGGCCTGACTGTCTGGAATCAGAAAAGCAGTATTTGCAGCATCATGTTAGGTTGCTAAATCTTCCCAGAGCTTTGGAGGCACCATGAAGCCTTCCAGAATATCTCTGCTTAGTGGATGTTGGGATGAGCATTAAGCCCAGACTGCTATCACAGAGTCAGACAATTTGTGTGTAGCAGCAGCTTCAGCATGGGTGCTCTGTGCTTTCTAAGAGTGCAGTGTAGCAATTTTGGGGAGATAGCCTAAAGGTTCCCTCTAGGAACAGAAAGGCCTATTGGTTTGGGCTTAAGCACTTGGCTTACATAGAGGTTGAATATCCAGGTTGCTACAGCAATGCAATGCACCTGAGCTCCTGAGGATGCCAGGCCTGTCCCAGCATTGCCCAGTACCAGGCATTTATAGCCACGGTATAATTTACCTGTGAGTGGATTAGCCAAGGTGGGGTTAATGGGGTCAGTCCCACCAGAGCTTTAGTACGCAGGCTTTTTCCTTGATGGTTACCTAGAGTGGGAAGGATATTCCCTCTTTTCCTCAAGGAGCCCAGGAAGAAGCTGTTGCTTAGGTCAGCCATGGTGAGACTGTCTGAATGCCCTGTGGGTCAACTAGTGGATGTTTCTCAAGGTTTGGAAGTAGCACTCTGTCCTGTGGCCTGCAAGCACTGGCAGAAGGGAGGAATGCGTAAGCTGGAAGATGGGAAAAGGGGCAAATCCAGCTCCCTGTCCTGGGGAGAGGACCTTGTGCATGTGCACAGTCAGGGCATGGCTGGCTTGTAGCACAGTCCCTGGCTGGCGGAGACTGAGATGCAGCTGAATTGTGAGGTGCTGTGGGAAGAACAGAGGAGGGGAGGGACTGAGCGAGAAGAACGTCATTCTGGGAGAGGTGGCTTTGAAGCTCTGGCAGAGCTAGTGATAACCTGTTTCACTTCTTCAGAAAACCCGAAGGAAGCTAGAGGATGCATTGCAGCGCCTGGAGTGTTTGTATGAGAAGCTCCGCGAGCAGGCAGTAAGTAAATGCCACTGTTCCCTGTGGTCCAGCCAGGTTCCTGATCCAACTTTTGTGCTGGGTTGTGGGCCTTGGTGTCTGTCTCAGTGTTACCAACACATATTCTCTTGAGAAAGCTAGGGGAGTGCCAGACCTTATAATGCACCTTGAATCCAGCCAGCCTTATCTCCTCTTCCTTAACCTTGGCTTAGACATAGTGTAAGGAAAAGCTGGGGAGGTATCTGGGTGGTCATTTTGCCCCCAGGAAGTATACTGGCATATAGACGGGTTCCAGACTGGAATGGGCAACTGGGGCTAGTTGTTAAGTGTTAACCTAGTGTAACCTCTGGCTTAGAAAACTCTGAAGTGGCTGATGCCAATTGCTGGAGAGATAGCTATCAAGAGAAGAATCCTTTTAACATACATCCTTGTCCTGAATGTCCATATTAGGCCTAGACAGAGACAGGATTCTGTGCTAGATAGACCTTTGACCTCCTCAAATACATCAGATACTCAGTTAATGCTGAAATGTCATTACTTAGGGTATGCATTCACTCTAATCCAGCCTGGGTATTAGATTAATGTTTGTTGTGGGCTGGGAAACCAAAGGAAGCAGGAGGCTATCCCTTCCCACCAGCGCTCAACTGCGTAGGTGCTGTTTGGTGAGGATGAGGTGGAGAACAGGAGGGAAGAGTGTGGCGGGAGCGGGGGCCTGTGTTACAGTGCTGAGCATGCTGACTCATTGCTGCTCCCTCCTCACAGCTTTCTCCAACTATCCTCATGGGTCTCCATGAAATTGCCCGCTGCATTGAGGCTAGGAACTACCAACAGGGTCTCCTGGTTCACACCCAAGTGGTGAGCAGCAGCAGCTTCAGTGAAGTGTCTGGTTTCATGCCCATCCTGAAAGTCCTCATGACCGTTGCTGGCAAGCTGAATGTGTAAAGTGTGGAGCATCTGGAACAATGCACAATGAGAACTGGTGGACTCTCTCACCTGTTGATGTGCTGCAGGTTGTGGACTCTTCTTCTGACTCTGGAGAAGTAAGTCTGTGGCAGTGCCTGGAACTGTGCTGGGCCAGCACGCCTGGCCCCATCGACTCTCCAGACAGCCAGCTGGGGCCTGGGACCCCTGGAGACTGTTCTTTCTCTCTCTTCTTTTTCACTAGCCTGAGGCCGCTTCCCAGCCCGGGGATCTCAATTTCAGGCTGTCCAGGTTGCACAGAGATTCCTCCCTCTTCCCTGTTTCCCTGGCACAAAGGGGAAACTCCTTTCCACCTAGGCTGACATTGCTTGGGTTGTTCTTTTTTTTAGGAGACAAACAGGGCTGGCACCTGCCATGCCAGCAGACAGAAGAGCCTCAGGCTCTATTCCCTGCTGCAGCGTAAACTGCCTGAGTGATTGCTGGGCTCCCTTGGGACCTTAGCTGGGATGTCCCTGCTCTGTTAGGCTGCAGTGAGGACCTCTCCTCTGGTTCCTTCTTTCTCTTCATTCTCATCCTTGACTCACCCTCTCACCCTTCTGCACCCATATCCTGCTACAACTAGGGCTAACTACCAGCTTGCTCTGGGTTCTCTCTCTTTTCTTCACCCAGCCCTCTCTTTTCATAGTCAAGTCTCATGTTTACTTTCTATTCCCCCCTCCTTTATATATATTTTCCCCATAAGCTGCAGGCTCGAGCCCTTTATGTTTCAGGCCCGGGTCTGGATCTCTCTTCTGTCTCCTGGGACTCTCCCATTCAGGAATGTTAGCAGGTTGGACTGCTCTGTGTGCTCCCCCCCAGAGCCAGTCACATCCTGCTTTTAGGCTAAAAGCTGCCCTCTCTGGCTCCTGGCCTTTTTCACTTCCTTTATGTTAGCACAGTTGGCCTTTTGCCTACTGGTGTTATCTAAAACCTTCCTATATAGGGCTTTTCAGACAGTCTAGAGGCTTTCAGAGCAGCAGGGATTGTTCAGGTACCATAAAGCATCCCCTCGAGCTACTCTGACCAGCCCAGACTTGAGCAGGGGGAGACAGCTCATTGCTCCAAGTGCGGTGCATTCATTTTGCCTACAGTAACAGATACATACAAAGGTGGTTCTGAAAGGCCCCTTGGTACTATGGTGGTAGGAATATGCTGCAGGAGGTGATGCTGTCAGGTCTCGAGAAGATGGCTGCACTCAGGCTTTTCATCACTGTGGCGTTTCCTCTGGGGTAAAATAGATGAATGAAGCGTATCTGTCCTGGGGAAGAAGTCTGGGTGGGAAAGCAGATTTTAGGGCACAACTCTGTGTGTGTGTGTCTTTCCCTCTCTTCCTCCCTCCTTGCCTTCCTCTCTCTTACTCTCTGTCATGCTAACCAGGCAGCATAATTGTTGGGCCCTAGCTGGGAGCAAGGCTTCTTCCCAACATTTGGCTGCAGCCAGCCCCTGCTTCCTCTGCTTGCTGCTTGAGTGATAATGCCATTGTGGGGCTGTGGATCAGTGACTTACGCAAATCAACCTGCTCTATCAGGAGACTTAGGAGGGAGAAGAATCAGAGAAGGGAGGGAGAGGACACATCTCATTCTCTCCTTTCCAGGTCAAAGTGCCTCCTTGTTGCTGCTGTGTCGTTTCTATTGCTGCGGTTTGATGCACTGAGAGATTACAGAACAGTGAAATAAAAGCTGTGTTTTGTGATGCTGCTAGCTTTTTTTCATAAGCTTGTCACCTCTGGTGACAGGGTACCTCCTTCTGTCTGCAGGGTGACCCACTGAGAGCTGAGTTCTCGGTTGTGGGGACGGGGGCAATTGAGAACTGTGTGGGGCAAAACAGATTCTGAGCTCTGCTGGTGTGGGCAGCAACCATCCTGGTGTGGGGAGACCTCAGGCCTTACCCACTCCCTAAGGCCGCAGGGTCAGAGAACCGATCTTCTGATCATCCGCCTCAACTGTGACTGCTCATCTGCATCAAATACAAGAAAGTCCCTGGGATGGATGAGGTTCTCTTGGGGAATCATAGCAGTGTTGGGGATTTTACACTTGACTTCAGGAGTTGGAAGTATGTCAGTAAGTAAACAGAGCACCCTTGATGAGATCCTGTCCTGTTGGAAATCAACATTACACCACTGAAGCCATGCCACTTAAACTAGGCTGAGGATCTCACCTGTGTGGAAATCAGATTTATACCATTGAATTGTCAGTTCTTACCATTAGTGAACAACTTCTGAATCTGTTGACTGATTTCATTTAAGCTTTTATGGAGGTAAGAAGGATGAAGTGAAACACTGGTACTGAGATAAAGTCGGGGGGGGGTGGGGGGGGGGAATCAAAGTATTTTCTGCAAAAGAACTGATGTAATCTCAAAAAAAGTTTTGTTTTCTTTTTGCTGTATGTACATGCCAGCCAGTCAGCACACATGAAACTCTGAAATATGCAGGACTGTATTACGTGGCTTGTAGTTGGAGGATCTGGGAAAGGGTTGAGAAAGATTATGTGGATGGGGAAGATTTGAAGGGCTGTTGCTGGGAAGGGACCGGGGTTTATTAGAGTTCGGGGGTGTTACGGACACAGCACACGCATTCAGGGAAAACCAGTCTTTGTTAGTTCTGCTTCTGGCAGAAGCAAACACCAAGTGTGAGGGAGCCTTGCAGAGCTTTTGCAGCCCAGTCTGGGAGCAGTTAGCAAAAAGTTTGGCCTCCCAGCTGTCCCCCATCAGGGAGATGCAAGCTGATTTTCAAAGGCAGCACTTGTGTTATGACCCCTTCTGATGCTGTACAAGTGAGCAGGGAACCCTGGAGACATATATTTGCTTCACAAGTATATAAGGAAAGCCCTAGCTTTCTGAGATCGTTTAACAAGTCTGGTATTTCTTAGATTCTTCCTTTCTGGATCCAGTTATAGTACTCTGTGCCGTCCAGCCCCTCTCTTTCTTTGACTCAGGCCACTTGTACCACTGAGAAATAAGCACGGATTTTCCATGTATTTCTCAAACGCATTTGACTTTAGTTCCCTCCAGCACGCACTGCTCCCTCCACCCATGGACTCACGCAGAGACTGGCTATTTATCCTGCCTTTGCTGCGAGTCCTTCCTCCTTGCCCCTTTGCCCCACTGTTGCTCAATTTTGCTTCAGGTTTGCCCCAGCGAGCACCATCCCTAAAACTCTTGGTGGGGAAATTGGGCAGGGGAAGTGAGGTGTCCCACTTGAGGGGCTTGTGGCAGAAGCCCCGTCTCCGTGGTCCTGGTGCGGTATACGTCCTCGCAAGCTCCGCTGGAAAAGTGCTCCTCCATTTATAGCGTTATCTCTGCTGGCTCGTAACAGCTTCTGGTCTACGGACAGCGGCTCCTCGGTGTTGCCTCCTCCAACGTGGGCACATGCCACCGCAGCATCCCTGTGCCACTCCACAGAGAAAGCCTTTTCTGGTGGGTGAGAAGGCTTTTGGGTTGACAAAGAGTTGGGGGGGGGGGGGGGGGGGGTGGGGGGGGGGGGTGGGGTGTTGGGGGGGGCGGTAGGAAAGGATCCCTGGGCACAGAGAACAGAGCTCTAATCCTGTTGCAGATAACATCATGTCTGCAGGCTAGGCTTGTGTGTGTTTGGGGGAGCTGGAGGGGCAGAGATTGTTAGGCAGTATTTGTTTGTAAAGCCACTTGCTCTGAAGATAATGCTTGCACTAACTTCTATTGAGGGAGCAGTGTGAGTCCCCACAAAGTCCTTTCCCAAAGTGTCTTTGAAGCCAAGAACCCATTGAAAGGAAGAAAGGCCAAGAGAGGGGATTAGTTTGTTCAGCAGCTGTGAATTTCAGTGGGAGGCTGATGAACTCCAAAGTCTTTGTTGAGATGTTTTTTGTAAGGAGCCCTGCTGGAGGGAGAGACCCACACGGGGGCCGCGGCCTTAGACAAGAAGGAATCCGAAGCGGCAGGGAGCTGTAAACGGGCCACAAGGACTTTTCCCAAACACTTTTCGGAAAAGGTGTTGTGAAGAGAGCGGAGGGGGATTAGCATGTGAAATGACACTTTCCATTGACTCCACAGAGGGGAGGGGAAAAGGGCTGGCTGGCTGATTTATTAGCATTTTGTTCCCTTCTCTATTCTGCTCCCCCAGCAGCCCCCCTCCCCTCGCTCCCCTCCTCCCGAGCCCTCTAAAGAGGTCTGGATTGGGAAAGGGAGCGGGGGGCTGCCTGTTTGTGTGTCATCTGGGCGAAGGTGACCACCTGGGAAGCTGAATGTAAATATTTCTCCTCTGAGGAATGCGCCTTCATTAAACCGAAATGAATACATGGAAGCATCCAATCCTGCCGCACAATGGCAGCAGTGCCTTTACAGCTCAGGGCTCCTTCTGCCGGGGAGGGGGGACCCCTCCGGCCCCAACCCGCCGCTGAGGTCAGCACATTTCGCAGCTGCGATGTCGCCATTTTCTCCCAGAGAAAGAAGCGTGTGGCGGTGGGGCTTGCGCTTCGAATGCTCCCCGCATGTCCCCTTCACCAACAGGAGTCACTGTGCCCAGCGGGCACATCCTGGGCTGTGCCATGGCCTTCACAGGGCAACCGTGTGGGGCAATAACGTCAGCAGGGGAGGGATGGGGTGGCACAGCCTGCTATGTGCTGGGGAGGAAATGGGAAACAGCTTCCACATCTTCTCCTTTTATTATGTTTCCAGCTAGTCATGGAATGGGGGGCACAGAGGGACAAGGGGGTAGAAGCTGTCCTCTCTGCCTTGCAGTGGACCTCAAGCCAGCCTGTGCTGGGGCTTTCCCTGCTGAGTGAGAGGCTGTCGCCCCCACTTTGCTTTCCTGCCCAAGGATGGATTCCCACCACAGGGAGGTGGAGGAACTGCTGACGGAGATGCAAGGGGGACCGAGGGCTGGGTCACTGTATGAGTAAGAACTTTTGCGCAAACGGCTGGTGGTTTGTGTTTGAAGTGGAAGTGCTTCAGGTTTCCCTGAGAATAGGCCAGTAACGTTTCTTGCCATTTTTGAAGGGCCAGATTCTTGCTCAACATGAATGCTCTTGTTCTGGTGAGACCCCAGCTTGCCTTTGGTCCAAATTCCCATCCCCAGTGAAGTAGTCCTAGGATCGAGGTGGTATTTGATAACTAAGAGACACATACAGGCTGCTGAGTGTCTTTAATGTATCATCTCTGAAGCGGGCAACTGAGCCCCTGTCCTTTCCCACCCCCTGTCCTCCGGGCAGCTGCATTGCGGTTGGATGCAACCTCAAGCAAGCTCAAGGAGAGAGCAGGCCCTTTCCCCTCCTGGTGGGGGCCAAGGTTGTGCTGCATGGAGAGAACTGGTCAGCTCTTCATATGCTCAACAGATGGGTAAGTGGCTGGGTTTTGGTCTCCAGAACTGTAACTGCATACATACACATACATGATTGGAGGAAAAAAACCACCCAATTAATTAGGCACAACAGCATTTTGCAAGCACTTGGCTACTGATTTATTGCATTGGCTATTGGTTTACAAACATTGGCTACAAGACAGGTCTAATGGCCAGTAACTTAGCTCTGCTGGCTTCTCATCTGGCTAAAGGACACTTCAAACAGCAAAGTAGATGATAACCTCACAGTCCGGGGAAGACCACTGTGATGGTGCAGTGAGCTTCCCCAGGTCCTGCAGCTGACAGCTTCTTCCCTCCCGACCCCAACCACAGCAAGGGAACAGAGATGCATCAACCAAATCTTCCTGCTGCTTGCTTAGCTTATAGAATATATACAATAAGCGGTAGAGGAAAAACTGTTATGTATACATCACAGTAACTGTGCAATAAATTAAACTTCAAAGTGCTTCACTTTCCTATTTACACCACCATTAAATAGTAACTGACATTATTTTCTCAGACTAGGAGGAAGTATTTAGTTAGCTGACAGGGTAAGAGTGCTTGGGAAGTACACCTGGAGGTGGGGAAAAGACTCATCTGGCAGCTCCTGTCTGGGAGAGATTTGGGAGGAAAGAGGGACTGGAGAAGTGTGAGGGCATCTTTATGGCATCAGTCAAGGGCTTTGGCAGGGATGCTGGGGTGAAAAGGGAGTCGAGACCTGGAGGCTTAGAAGATACAGAGAAAGCATGTAAACAGCAAGGCATGGACGCCTCTTTTGGACAGCTGCTTAATGGGCAGGTCAAACAGCAGCTTCAGTCTTGCTACTGCCATCTCAAATGCAAAGTAAAGCACTGGAGAGCTTAGCAAAGCTGTCAAAGGATGGGAAGTAACGCTGTGGGCCTCCTGGAGGCTGGCTTGCTGTGGGAAGGAGTTGCACGCCTTTTCTATTCCCTTATAGTGTAGGGCTTAATAAAAGGCAATAACAACTTACTTTTTTTTTTTAGGGTACTAGAAGCCTTCTTCTGTTTTAGGGACTCTGAGTTGCTCAACTCTGGTGGTGCCATCTCAGCTTCTTTATGCTTTCCTAAGTGTTGATCTCACTTGCTCAAAATCCCAGAGCAGGTGCTTGTTTGGGGAACAGACAAGCTCGAAAGAGCAGGAGCCACCAAGACTACCTTTGTTTTCAGCGATAAAAAAACATAGTCGCTGGATAGAGTGACTCTGAGTTGGAGACCAAATCTCACCTTGTTTTGTCAACACTTGAGGGTCTTCCCAGAAGTCATCAGCCACTGCAATAATGGGAAATGCCCTGTATGGCCAAGGCCTAGGGGCTCATGCAAGATCTTTTGCCATGCCCAAGCCCCAGTGAGGGGGCATGGGGAATGAGACAAGACTAAGCCAAAGGGAAATGGTGCCGGGGGACAATGGGGAGGGCAGGAGAGGAGAAGGGCAGACAGGACCATGGAGGAACAGAGGCAAGTTAGAGCTTTCTCTTGAGCTTGCGGCTGGCCCCGCCACCTCCGCTCCGCTCCCGCTTCTCCTTGCGGACGCAGAAGTACTTGGTGACCCTTTTGCGGCACTGCTCGCACCGCACGGCGCAGCACCAGTGGAACTTGCAGTTGCAGCGCTCGCTGCGCGTCTGCCGCAGGATGTTGTGCCCGCGGCCGCAGCACAGGCTCTCGCAGGCACCCCCGCCGGCAGCTCCGCTTCTCCCACTTGCTGAGCGCCTTGCCCCTCTTCAGGCACTCCCTGCCCTCTGTGCCCAGCAGCCCCAGCGTCTTGTTCTCCAGGCAGTAGTCAGGAGAGTCTTCTAAATGGACCAGCTCCTTCTTGGAGATGGAGCTGAAGGTCTCGGCGATGGCGCCTCGGCTGGCAGCGCTGTTCCCTGCCCCCTGCAGCAAGTCCACCTTCAGGGCTTTGTGGTACCTCTCCTTGAGGTAAGTGCCCACCTCCCGGAACTCAGGCAGCTGCAGCCAGCAGGTCTGGGTAGTGCAACTGCCCGACACGCCATGGCATTTGCAAGTCCGCTTCATGGTGCCTTTCACGGCCTATAGCATGGGGAGAGAGAGAAAGGGGATTCAGGAAAAAGCCCAGGGTGGTAATTTCTGTGCTGCAGTGCATGGAGACACATGGTTCCAGGCCTGCAGAGGGATTTGCCATCAACCCTCATTGTGCAGTAGTCCTGCCTGGGGGTTGTTGGCTTAAAGTTCACAGATTTGCTTCTCCACGGTACTCCCCTACTTGAACTGGGAGAAAGAGGGCAGCGGGAAGCCATTAACACTGTAATCATGGAAGGTTTGCTACCTTAGAACAAACACCACCCATCACGTCAGTACTGCTGCCATCCCCTTCTCCTCAGCAAGATAGTTGTTTCTTCTGGACACATGCTTTTAGCCACAGCAAGTTGTGACTCTCTGCAGTGAACGGCCAAAGCCAATTTGGTGTGTGGTGTCAGGTCTGGAGGAAAAGAGGAGCTCACCTTTCTACCCGCCTCGTTGTTATGCAGGTTCATAGCAGCTCTGGCGTCTTGTCCAGTCTCTAGGGCATCCACAAACTGCTTGGAAATGGCTTCCCCGAAGCCCACGTTATCGCTGCAGCCTCCCCACAGCCAGCCTTGGCCCCCTGAGAAAGGAGATGAGATGTGTGCTGTCAGAGAACCAGCCTCTCACCTGCCTGGCTCGTGGCGCTGTTGGCAAGAAAGGGTCTCAGAAGTGATGGGAGGGAACGGAGACTGTGGAACAAATCCAGCCTTTTGCCTCACGATACTCCCTGATTCCCTCTCCCTGGCCTAACACCATTTCTACTGAGGCCTGGACAGTAAGCGGCTCATGCAGGCAGCGAAGGGGTAGGTGCTGTGTGACAAACCTAGGGATTTTCAGGCTTTCTATAAAGCAGGATATAGAAGCTGTTAATTATCATGCATTAACAGCCATATAGATAAGGCTTTGGGTCTTCAATCACTTTCCTTCAAACCCTGACTTGAACTGGTTCAGTCTGACTCACAAGGACAGCATCTTGCTAAGGTGGATTAGTGAACTAGTGGAGGCAAACTGGTTAGAAGGAACAGATTCCCCTCCACTGGGAAACAACCTAAGCCTGGCACCCATGTATCTAGGAGACCCTCTTTTTGGCACACCCAGAATCTTGGGATGATATTTGGCATCTCAGAAGGGTCTGATTTTCCAGTTATCATAAAGAAACAAAGGACTCAGCACAGAACTGGGAAACGGCACAGCAAGATGTGGAGGGTACTCTTCCTAACTGTGTGGGAGCTCGATAACAGCTCAGCTGACTAGAAACACGTCATGCGGTTTGCTTCTTTTCCTCCTAGAGAAAAATGTCAAATTCTGTATGTAGATTTGAAATCTGGAACATTCTGAACCCAATGTGCCTTGGCCATACATCTTGGGAGTTGTGGTTTAATGGACTTGTGCCTCTCCTGAAAGGCCTGGCCCTTGCCCAGACTTCCCCAGAGCATCAGGTCCCCTCTCCCAGGGAAAGGCAAGGGCGTCCCATGGGAGGTGGGTAATTGCAGTGGATGATGAGGTCCAAATCAAGAGCTGGGACCGACGGGAGAATGGAGACCTTTCACCAACTTGGAATCAGCAGAACGGCATTTAGAATTGAATCATACTGTTTTGGACAAGCCCAAAAGTTTCCTTTGCCTTCTGAGGTTTTAAGTTCACAATGGAAAATTTTCATGAAAAACAGATATGTTTCGGGAAAAAGAAGTGTAGCATGACTAACTCGGTTTTCCAGAGAAGATAAAATTTGGTGTGTCATTGCCCAAAGTCTTGCTCTGCCAGAGGTGGGCTATCCAATGCCTTGGACACCTAAGCAGTGGCTGTTTTAAAAACTAATAAAGCAAATTACTAAATACTGGACACTCCAGAGGAGTTTGTCATAAACCGACACATACTGACTGCCCAGTGCGGCTGGGTGGGGGATGGCTTTTAAAGGATTTTGAGAATTCGAAATTTGACCTCTTTCCATTCAAAACAGAAGACCGAAACATCAATGTTTTCTGCAAGAGCTGAGGGGAGAGCTGGCACGGTGCAGCCTGGGGTTCCCCACCCAGGGGCGCCGAGTGGCTGTGGGCCTGGGTACCGCTGCGACAGGAGCGGGGTGAAGGCTGTGTGCTGCCACAGCGCTTCTCCTGCTTGTGCTCTCGTGTGCCTGCCACACTGACAAACGCCAGAGGGGTCTATGAATGCCACCTTGCTCTCCCTCCCGGTCATTCTGCTCTGGGGCCACCCTGGTCCTGCAGACCCTGGAAGCCCCAAGGTCCCTGATCAGTGCTGCTCTAACCAGACCTGCCATTTAGACGCATGGCATCAGATCCTCTCCTCTGGCCGTATGGCACAGTCATTCCCTCCAGCAGCCTAAACAGTTCTTGATTTGAAACAGGGAAACTACAGCCCCCTTCTACTTTCCTGCTCATTTAGAAATTAATGGAAAACATCGAGGGCTTGGCCTCAGCTGGTGTAAATTAGAGGTGACCCCATTTAGCTTCCACAGAGCTACTTTGGTTTGAGGCAGGCAAAGCTCTGCTCTAGGCATTATTTCCAGGTGTGGAGACCCGGAGGAGGAGTTGTTTCTGCAGGCCGCAGCGGAGGAGAGGAGAAGAGCTGTCACCTGCTGCCTGGGATGTGAGAGAGGGATGGCAGGTCGTGGCTCCTTACCCAGCTGTCCATTGCGGGAGTCATCACAGCCACAGTTGTCAAAATCCCCCAGGCTGCAGTTCCGGGTCAGCGTGTACATGACGCCCGCAGAGCTGATGGCGTGGACAAAAGCGGTTTCTCGGTTTGCTGTCAAGTGGGGATACAAGGAGAGCAGATGTGCTAAAGATTTCATGGCAACACCAGTGTTAGAAATGACTCCTGCCATGCAGGAGACTGCATAGCAAGAGACTTGCAATGGGCAGGGCTTTGTGGGGTGGAGAGGAGGCCCAACATGTCAGATTAGCTTAGTTTTCACTAGAGCTCCATGAAGACAGAAGCTCCCAAATTTTATCCAGACTGACTTGTGCCGTTTCCAAGGGTGTGGATGAGTTCAGCCCTTGGCTGTCCTTGTGGGAGCTCAGCAGAGGGGATACAGCACAGACAGCCAAATGTCCCCCCTGTTTCACTGATACATCCCAGAGGGAAAGGTGTCTTCTCCAAGGACCAAAGAGCTCCTTCCCCACAGCCCCCTCGAGCCTTACCTTCTGCTGGACACTGCCAGGGCTCAAAGCAGTGATCATACCTACCAACCAGGATCAGTGTGGTGATCATCAGCTGACTTCACTTAGCCTTTGGCTTTCATTTAATGCTAGCAAGGTCTGGATCTGAGCAGATAACCTTGATGGAAATAGTTCAGGGACCTGCTCCCTGTCCTAGTGTGTTACTTTGTTCTGCAGTTGCCTCCTCAAGGTCCCACTTTGAAATCTCTGTCCTCCTCTGCCTGGGGCCCTGGTCCCTTGACTGCTGCCAGTCCCACCAGAGGCCTGAGGCTCTCCTCCATACCCAGGTCCTGCCTGTACAGGGCAGGTATGAGCTCAGCCCACCATCATACGTGGATCTAGAGAACCAGGTATGCACTGAAACATTTCCTGGCACCTGCAAACAGGTAAGGAATGGGATACAGCAACAATGGCCACGGCCCCATGCCCTGCAGTGGCACAGGTCATGGATGCTGGATTTCTGCCCAAGGTGACCATGACAATTGGAAGCTGTGGGAACGCTTTTCTCCTGCCTCTTGGCCAAGCACAGCCACTGATGAACTCTCTTCTGCTCCTTTTAGCCATATCCCTCTGCTTGCCACCCCACCATCCCGTGCTGGCTGTCAGCCTCCCTGGGACACCCTAGTGAGGAACACCAACCAGGCATGGCATTTCCAGCAGCCCATGTCACAGGTCGTGGTGGTGCATCCTTGTGGGGAGCCAGTTGTGTAAGACTTGGTAGGACACTCTTGCCTTGCCCAAGCTGGGGCTCTGTGGGTCTGGAGGTGACGCTGGCATTGCGAGGCTGCCTTGTCTTGAAGCTAGATCCCAGTGTGTGTCTGGGAGCTGATGGGTGAAGGGCCTCCTGGAA